GAATCAAAAAAGGACAAAAAAAAAATCTCCAGGTATAAAAATATTGAGGAGTCGATTGTGCAATAAAATAAGTGATGATTGGTTCAATAATTGTTTGGTTACTAACATTAAGAGAGATACATTTGAGATGATTGATAATGAGTTGATTTTAAAAGATTCAAAAATATGAAAAATCCTCAAGAATAATTGTAAAATTTTCTCTCGCTGGGTGTTGCAATGTATTAATTGCTGTCAAAATAAACAATATTAGTTTAACTGAAAATAAATGAGTTATGAAAAAACAGGCCTGAACGGGGTGCAGTCGTGATACACTGCCCTAGAAGATAGAGGCCCCGCCTGTCGCCCTGGCGTAGTTGATCCTCCCCCCTAGCGGTAAAAGCCCCCCGGAAACGGCCGGCCTCTCTACTCGGGCGCGAGTAGCAGAGCTTCTGCTCAGATGAAGATGATTGCCCAAAAATAATCCTCAAAATATGTAGCCGAAAATCTTTCAGTACTAAGAGTAGCAGAAGGAGGAAGAGGGAGCTATGAAATTCTTTGTGAATTTCTGTGTGTTTTTCCGAATGAACTCTGCCTCCTTATATAGCCTCATGAACCAGTAACCGATGCTGAATCTCCTCGTCCGTTGGGCGTAAATCACGCTGCCGTTACATAATAAATGCTGCCGTTACATAATAAATGCTGTCGTTACAAAAAAAAATAAAAGCTGGAGAAGCAAAACCCGAGTGCGGTGCGGCGTGGCGTGGCGCGCGCGTCGTGTCGTGGCGAGGCGAGGCGTGGCGTGCGTGCGCGCGCGCGTGTGTGGAGAAAGAGCACAAACACTAGTAGGCCCAAAACATTACTCAAAGCCCATTAGGAAGTGAACCATTATAAACCACTTGAACTTCTCTTCAACTTCCAATGTGGGACTATTCACAATTGCCTTTTCCTTAAGAAAATGCTAACAGTCCCCCCCAAAAGGCAATATTGACAAAACAATTAGTAAAACATATATATATATATATATATATAGGTTGGGCAACCTTTTGTATCGTGAATTCGGGAAAGGTAGCTTCCGGCTTTGAACCTTTCCTTAGTGAGTTTGTCGCCACCTGAGGGACATAATGGACTAAGCCTTGAATTAGGGCCCTTGAATCAGGTATTGACAAAAACACACACAATACACTTCATCTATTGAGCAAAGCGGGTTGAGCGTTAAAAGGCCATGCTCACAATAACCGACTCATGAGAGTTTCTAGGGGTTAGTTTAGTCCAGCCCCCCCAACCGCGGCCATCACGATTCCTCTCACGTAGGTAAGTCCTCAAAGGGTACTACAGCTGTTTATTTAATACCCCCCAATAATACATGCGTTGGACTTATTAAGAGTAAAACTCAGCCTAACCAGCTGTATCATAGGAGCATCGTCATCATAGAGAAGGGGTAGTAGCTCACACTACATAATGATATATGAATATATATATGGGTCGATGCTCCACCCGAGTATCACTAGTCCAGCTTGTTTCTACCACATTGAACCGACATTGGGACAACGTCTCCAAATAAGGGTTGGGTTCCCACTGTCAGTGACCTCTTTAATGGACTTAACCCCATCTCCCTCGATGAATCCAGGACTACACTCCTGGATAATCCCTTAGTCAAAGGGTCAGCAATATTTTTCTCAGACTTTACAAAATCCAAGATCACAACTTTGCCTAACAGGCGTTGTACAGACTTATATCTTATTTGAATATGTCTGTTGAGTTTTTTATTTACATGTACTTGCTTTAGAAGCTCTATGGTAGATCTAGAATCAGAATGAATGGAAATTGGAGGAAAAGGTTTAGGGACCAAAGGAAGTTCAGAGATAAGATCTTTTAACCATTCGGCTTCTGAGCAAGTAGTATCAAGTGCAATCAATTCAGATTCCATGGTGCTCCTGGCAATTACTGTTTGCTTACATGATTTCCAGGATACAGCAGCACCACCAAAAAGAAATACATACCCAGATGTTGACTTTACACTGTTGGAATCTGTGACCCAATTGGCGTCACTATACCCTTCAATGGCATCAGGGTATCCAGTGTAAGTTAAGCAATAGTCAACTGTCCCTTTTAAGTATTTAAATACTCTTTCTAAGGCAGACCAATGATCTGGGTTAGGGTTACTGGTATACCGACTCAATCTCCCTACAGCATAAGCTATATCGGGTCTAGTCCGGTTTGATATGTATAAAAGGGATCCAATCATTTGGGAATA